TGTGCTGTGGAGTCGGACCCGACTCATAGTGACCCCTCCTTGGGCTGCCGAGGCAGTATCACTACGGAAGTAGATTGCCCAACCTTTCTTCCGAGGAGTACTGGCAGCCTTCTGATTAGCAGTCAAGGGCTTTAGGCACTATGCTACCAGAGCTCCTGCAGTGCACGGTTGTTGTTGTTGTTATGTGCCGTCAAGTCGGACCCGACTCATAGCGACCCCTCCTTGGGTTTCTGAGGCAGTATCACTACGGAAGTAGATTGCCCCATCTTCCTTCCGAGGAGTGGCTGGTGGGTTTGAACCACCACCCTTCTGGTTAGCAGTCAAATGCCTTAGTCACTATGTTACCAGAGCTTCCTAGTGGATGCTATATAGGAGAAAGAGGAGGGATAGGAGGAGAGTGGCCTAGAGGCAGCAATCCAGGAAGTGAGGCTTAAAAAGTGAATAAGGAAGGGTTAGCTGGTTAATTCTGAAGGGAGGTAGTTCAGCCCAGAGGATCATGGGAAGAAAGAAGCAGCCTGCTTTGTACCTGGTGTGATCTGTTTGTGCTTTGGTGAGAGGAAGGCCTTGGAGAACAGACCAAGGTGGCTGGACCAGGTCCTGGGTCCTTCTTTCACATGGGCTAAGGAGCTTGGCTTGGTCTTGCAGGCCCCTGTGATACCTCTCCAAAAGGGTTTTAAGCTCTGTGGAGTGACATAATCAGCTTTGCATTTTGGAAAGATCACCAAGCCCCAGTGTTCCTATTTCTTTCTGCAGCAGCACCAGCCAGATGGGGATATCTGTCTGTGGCAGTGAGTCATAGCTATGTATGTATGACCATGAGCTGGGATTTGCATGGCGTAGAAGAGGAGAGGGCACGGACCAGCAGTAGCTCAGATAGACCTGGGTGCGAATCTTGACTCCATCTCAGGGAGATTTGGTTCCCTCAATACAAACAACCCAGGGTTGTGCTGCAGTGTGACTGCTGAGCCAGGGCTTGGTGCATAGTAGCCCCTGTTCTGCACCCTCCCTATAGAACTGCTGTGACCCCAACACCTGGAGAGAGGTGCCCTGGCACCAAAAGAACCCATCCCTTCCTCCTGGGGTGTGTTGCGCTGAATTGAATTCATTAAGATGTAAAGCGTACTGAGCACCTACTCTGCACAGCACATGTGCTTTGAGGTGAGGTACTACAGCAAGTGTTCTAGGCCTGTATAGAGCAAACAGGTTGCCTATCATAGGCCAAAAGGCTTTTTCTACGTGGCTGATGGAAGCCAAACTTATCTGTTCTGAAATGTCAGGGGAGTCTTTGTTTTGGGCTACAGTAGGTCAGTGCAGTGTGGAAACCGTGGTTCGTTTTTGCTGATTAAGCTCTGATTGGCTTTCACATCTCTGATCAGTTCAGAATAAAATCTAGAAAATCAAATGAATTTCTCTGTAATTACTGCATTTTTTTAAATAAATAATTCAAACACAGAATTGATAGGTGGTAGGACATCTTTCAAGGAGCTCTGGTAGCACAGTGAGTAAGGCATCTGACTGCTAACCAGAAGGTTGGTGGTTCAAACCCACCAGCCACTCCACAGAAGCAAGACTGGGCAATCTACTTCCATAAAGATTTACTGCCTCAGAAACCCAATGAGGGTCACTGTGAGTTGGTATCGACTCAAGGGCAGTGGGTGTGGTTTGATTTAGGACATCTATAAGGGAGTCTCTGGGTGGTGCAATAGGTTAAGCATGTGACTACTAACCAAACAGTTGGTGGTTCAGACTTGCCCCTAGGTTCCTTGGAAGAAAGACCTGGTCATCTGCTTCTGACAGGTCACTGCTATGAAAATGCAGTTCTACTCTCCAATGCATGGAGTTGCCATGAGTTGAAATCAACTCAACAGCAACTGGAAAAAGACATCTATCAAGGGCACTTGGCTGTACATGCTGTTTTTGAGCCTTTCCTGGGTCTGGCCTAGAGCTCTCCAGAGCAAGTGCAGGAATGGATAGGCCTCCTGCTACCAGGGAATTAATAAGCACTGGTGGTGCAAACAGTTTGCCCTTGGCTACTGACAGAAGAGTTGGTGATTCAAATCCACCTAGTGGCACTGCTAAAGAAAGGCCTGGCAATCTACTGCTGTTTAAGATTGTTGTTGTTGTTGTTGTTGTCATGTGTCTTCAAGTAGATTCCAACTCATAGTGACATTATGTGTATGACAGAATGGAACTTCTCCATAGAGTTTCCTAGGCTGTAATCTTTATATGAGCAAATTGCTATATCTTTTCTCCCTCAGAATGACTGGTGGGGTCAAACCACTGACCTTTCAGTTAGCAACTGAACACTTAGCAATTGTGCCACCAGTGCTTGTTTCTGTAAGATTACAGCCATTGAAAACCCCATGGGATGCAGTTCTACTCTGAAACACATGGGATTACCATGAGTCAGAATTGATTCAACAGCAACAGTGTTTTTTGTGTGTATGTGTGTGTGTGTGTGGGGGGGGGGCATCTGCTAAGTCCTGGCCCCATTCTAGGCTCTGGGGATACAGTAGTGAACAAAGCAGACCAAACCATGTGTTCATCTGTCCTCTCAGAAACCCAAGAAGCAAGCAGAATGGACACCTTCATTATCCCTATTTTATGGATGAGAAAACTGAGACTCAAAGAGGCTGGCTCTATAACCAGCAAATGTAGGTTCTGGGCTCATACCCAGCTCTGTTTGCTCTGGGCTCTAAGCCCTTTCCGTGGCCTCACGCTGACCCTGAGTGTTTTATAAATGCTGAGATACCGTGTCAGAATGATCCAGATGGTACCCATGGAGCAGCAGCAGAATCAGATCAAAAGCACCACCTCTACCTGAAAAAATCAACTACAGCTATATAGATCTGACTGCCACCTTCACAAGCGTTAAGCTGCACTGGTAATATTTTCCTTTGTATGATCCAAGTGTTTTCTTTATCCTTTCTTAAGTGTTGAAGGTGGTGGAGGGACCCAAAAAATAGCCAAGAACCAGCAGGCCTGGCCGATCATGGGTGTGTGCCCCAGGGCTATCCTCTCCTGACCCTTCCCAGAGCTTCATGGAGGCCTCGCCATCTGCTGTCTGTTCACCTCACGGCCTTTCTGCCATGATTTCCTGAAATGAGCTTCTCAAAACTCTCTGGTCACTGATAGTGCCAGCCCCTCCCTCCTGCCCACAGATGTGCATGGGGCTTTCCCCGCCAACTCAGTTCTCTTCTAGATGTTTTCTGGGCTAGGCTTCTTAAACTGTCTTCTTCAGCCCTTTTGTAGCCCAACCGTCCTCATGGCCTTGTCATTGTACACTGCTTGTTAATAGTGTCCACTGTAAGTCATTGGTCACCACCCCTAGCCACATTTTCTCTTTGTCTTTGGCTTCTTTCCATCTGACAACTTTGGCCTCTTGGATTGGCAGTTCTCTCCTTCCTTGCCCCCCACTGTACACCTGGCATTTTCTACCTTGCCCCCCTGACCATTCTCTCACCATCTCCTTTTATGAGTTCTGCCTTCTCTCCAACTTGATCATGCTTGGCCTGGCACCTCTGTTCATCCTCTTCTTGAGTCTCCTTAGAGGACTCTCAAAACCTCAGCTGCTGATGCCCTGTATCTCCCATCTGGTCTATGCTACTGCCCAGAATCCTACCTCCCACAGAGCCTTCATAGTATGCATTGGATGGATGAATGTATGATGGGTAGTGGGTGGATGGGTGGGTAGATGGATAGATGATGGATGGGTGGATGGATGCATGCATGTATGGGCCAGTGATGCTCTTCTCTTTGGTCTAATGTCTACAATTGGTCTCAGTAGGTTTCCATTTGCATGTCCCACCATCACCTGAAAATTAATGTGGCAAACCACAAGCAATTTTGAAATCACAGAAAATGAAAGTTGAGTGGGGGCATTGCAGGCCATCTCAACTAAATCCCCAGAAAACTTGTGTTCCTTCCCTTTCTCTGTCTGTGGTGCCAGCATTGTGCTGGGTTGACCTCCTCCCCATGGAGGACCTCAGAGCCATCATGCTGGGAGTGAAGAGCAGTCTGTTGTCCCTCTGCTGGGTCAGGATCCCTTTCTCCCCCCAACATTTTCTCTGCTGGTGATTAGTCATGATGGAGCCTGGCTGAGTCAGAAGGGACTCATGAGTGGTTTGTGGCCAGACTGGAGCAGTGAGGCAGGAGGACTTTCTAGGTTTATGTCTCGTGCCATAGGAAATGAGCATTATGGGGCCTGGGCACATGCAGGTGCTGTGTGAGGGGAGGGGAAAGAAGGTCCTCTATCTGGTCCACAAGTTGGTACATGAAGAGGATAAAGAAGAGCCAAGATTCACAGAGAGAGAGAGAAATTACTATTTTGAAAAAAAAAAAAAAAAGAGCCAAGACATGGTCCCTAAGATGCTGCTGTGGACAAGACAGGTATCTGTAATTCCACCTCCATGTGGCAAATGATTCGAGGCAGGTATATTTACAGCAACTGTAAAAGTCCCCCATTGTCTACCATAGTCCACATATCAGGTGTTGCATGTATTTCAAGTATACATAGCTAAATTTAATATCGCTTTTCATATGACTTTATTCTCAATAAAGGCAGTTCATTAAGTACATAAGTCATTTCATTTTTATGCCTGTGTAAGATTTTATATATATATATTAATAAATGAATAACTCAGAAACAAATTCCTTGTTAGAGTATGTGTTATGATTTGGTGGCTCAGAAAACATGGCCACTAGGCAGGAGAAACATATTCAGCTGTGGCTGTGGATCTTCCCTGAAGTCCTGCTGAGGATATATTTAAATGAGGCTCTAAAAGGTGGCTTAAGTATCAGCAGGCAGGGTGAGGGTGAAGAGCCTCCTTTTCAGAGGGAACAGCATGGCACAGCCCTGAAAGTATGGCTGGCGAGGGGATGGGAGGGGCAGGCTGGACCGCAAGAGAGCCCGAGACTAGCCTGGGAAGGGCCTCGAGTAAGGTGCCTCTAGAATGCAGCCTCCCAGACTCTGGCTTCACAAACTGCGTCTGTGCTCACAGGAGGGAGAGGAGCCGGAGGAACCTCGTGGCAAGGAGGAGCGGCAGGAGTCCGGCACGACCACACGGAAGGTGGGAAGGCCTGGGAGGAAGCGCAAGCACCCCCCGGTGAGTGTTGTGTTGTCACAATCCGCCCCCTCCCCCTGCGCGCACACACACACACACATAGACACACAGACATCACTGCTGCCTAGAGTCTCCGTGCAGAGACCTAGCAAGAAAGGCTGTGGCCAAGGGCATCAAGATGAGGCAATAAAATGCTCACCTCTGGCTGCAGAGCTCATCATATTTCTTATTTTTTGACCCCCTGCAACCACCCCCACAACTTTCCTATTTTCTGCATCAAGAACTGGTGGCCGCGAGGGGCAGGGGACTTGCACTGGGGGGCAGTGGGGCTAGGCCTTGACCCAGGCATCTGACTCCAGCTTCCCTCTGGAAGTGCAGCGGGAGAGCCTGGCATTGTCCGAGTCAGTGGCTTTGATGGGCAGGACTCTTGATCTTCATAGCCTGTCTGTGGTCCCTAGATAGTGAAAACAATTAATGTGCTCAGCTGCTAACCAAAAGGTTGGAGGTTTGACTCTGCCCAGAGCCGCCTTGGAAGAAAGGCTTGGCAATCCACTTCTGAGAAATCAGCCACTGAAAATCCTGTGGAGCGCAGTTCTCCTGTGATGCGCATGAGTCCAAGTCAACTCCATGGCAACCAGTTTGTTTGGTAGCCTGTTGTGTGGGCTCCCCATCCCCACCCCACCCCCCACACACACACTGGACTTTGGCTACCTCCCCCCCCC